CCCCAACTCAGATTTGAAAAAAAAATCAGTGGATGGCTGTTTTCTGACTGGTCGGCAGACCGCCAACCGGTCCGCCCTACTGGTCGGCTGCAAAACGGTCAACCGTCGACCCTGCCGAGCGTTCTGTTTGGGTGAAGATGGTAGTGTCTACCAGGTACCTACTCCCCTCCTTCCAGCTCCACATAAAAAAAGGGAAAGAGAAACTGTGATTCACTGATTGATGCATTTCGGTCATCGATGACAGGCAGTCTTGCACATAAAAAGGTTTGAGATTGACAAACGACGCACCGTCACCAAGGGGCTCGAATCGGATATGGCCCTTTCGTATAACGATTGGGGGGTCGACATTGTCATTGCGATTCTGCTTTTCTCCAACATCGAGATCAGCTCTTTGATCAGATAACTTCTTCGACCCACTCTCTGCAGTTCTATCATTCTGCTTTTGCTGCCAGCATCAGAATCGACACAAACAGAAAGTTCCAGCAATCCGAAAGGGGAAAAAGGAAACAACATCAATCAGTCACAATAACTGGGCAATCAGCAACACTACTGTCTTCCCCCGAATAGAATGCATGATCATCATAGCTGTATTTGGGGCAACTTCCGGTCTAGATACGGCAATAATTACCGTACGTTGCATTCGGGGGAAGACGGCAGCCGCAGAGGATGCACATGAACCCTAGATGATGTGCACTGGAGGTGCTAGCTTCGAACTTTGAAAGTTTCGAGTATATCAGCCCCCAACTCCTCCAATTTTTTTTATTGATGTCAGCAGACTCGACACAAACTGAAATCAAGAACAACGAGCCATAGAGCCGCTCCTGAAACCGGGCAAACAAACACACACACACACACACACACACACACACACACACACACACACACACACACACAATACAGCTTCTGTACTCAGTAAAAATGGCCAGCAATTTGGCAGCAAAATAATATAAAGGCCAGTCATACCACAGCTTGCCCCCGCACAGCAGGAACAGGGTTCAGGTAAAACGCCCCCATTTCACTGTTCTCATTACCAATGGGTAAAGCGCCCCCATCCCATGGACGATGCCAAGACGCCCCCATCCCATGGCCGATGCCAAGATGTCCCCATCTCATGGCCGATGGACCTTGTCTTGTATCATCAACCACATCCCAAATTCTTTTTTTTTCTTTTTCATAAACACATCCCAAATTCATTAAAGCACGTTCTCTCGAAACCTACGACTTCGGAAGGTGTTTTCATTTTTTAGGTGCTGCCTTAAGTGTTTCTTTAGTCAGTTCTCATTTAACACCCTTCAAGTTGGGTCAGAAAGGAAACCCTTGGACCCAACCACTTACAAAGGCATGCCACTTACCAAGTTGTTGGGGTTGCAATTCACCTTCATAAGTTGTTGGGGTTGTCACTCACCTTCATAAACTTCTCCCCACACAGTCTAGCGTTAAACCGCTAGTACACGGCACCAGCCTTGCAGAAAGTTTTTGTCGCCAGAAGCAAAACTCGGAGGCGCCATGCGGCCAGGCCCGCCGTTGAAAAAAAAAATTGGCGGCCTCCGAAGAGGTGCGGGTTTCATGCTGACACCCGCGGGCCGATATGTGGCGTACTGGTGCTTTAAAGCTCAGTAAGGTGCCCGGTAACCTTAGTCGAGATTCAGAAGAATCAGAATGTTTTCTATTCCATTACTGACCAACCACCTTGCCCAGCAGACAAAGACGAGGGTCGCCACACAAGGAATGAGGTAAGATGTGTATCTTTATGATTCAAAAGAAAGAAGAGGCTGTCGTTGTGGTGGCGGTTATGCCTGCTCGCCCAGGGGGGAGGGGGGGGGGATGCGTTCCGATTTTTCTTTCTTCTTTGTCCAGACTCTAAAAGCCTGTGTTGCTCGTGTAAAACATAAATCTCCGTATGGGTGGGGGAACCTTGGGGGAAGGAGAAAGAACATGAATGGAAAGATGGCCTTGCCAGAAGATATTGAGAGGTATTGGTGGCCCACATCACACAAAACTTTCAGGTTCGAAAACCACAAACCACCTCCCACAAGAAGCGAAATACAAAGAGAAATGAACACACTGTACGCAACCCCTCCATGTTGCCGCCCAAAACGAAAGGGAAAAAGAAGGGAAAAAAGTAAAAGAGCAACTAGATAAGCATTCACTGGCATTCAGTAAATTGAACGAAAAGGAACAGTAGATACGATTCACTGGTTGGAACAGTAGATACGATTCACTGGTTGACATCATTCTCTCTCTCTCTCTCTCTCTCTCTCTCTCTCTCTCTCTCTCTCTCTCTCTCTCTCTCTCTCTCTCTYTYTCTCTCTCTCTGTGTGTGTGTGTGTGTGTGTGTGTGTGTGTGTGTGTGTGTGTGTGTGTGTGTGTCTGTTATACGTTATATTCATATTACATATAATAAAAAATATTTTTATTACTAGAGAAAAACGAAAACAGAAATATACTGGAGTTACCCCAATCTTACCAGAAGAAAAGACACTTAGCTCACCCAGAGTGGGAAATAACCACCACAGCTAATACAAGGGTGGTGAGTAAACAAGGGAGCTACTTGAGATCATACTCACTCTAGGACTTCCATGACTGAATTGGGCCATAACTGCAGTCAGATTCAGTGGAAAATGTCCTACCGGTAGTGCCGATGTAGTGCAAAATGTCACAGGCCATACTCACTTCTTCCTGGGTCTCTCAGCATAAAAGCAAGGACGAATGGAAGCGATCCACTTTTCCGTTACCAAAAGGAAGTAAATGGTTTCTTCCTGGCCAACCATCTACTTGAGCGCCTTGGATACCTGGTAGGCTCAGCCTGGCATCCGCACACGCCGCCTGGGCAGGCATCTGCCCGGAGTAGTTTAAATTTTGAAGGGGTGCAGTGGTGAACCTTGATTTGATTTTTCGTAGAGACCCTCAGCCAAACGTTGTTTGTACTGCAATAATACACAACATGTTTTCTCCAAATCTTGTAGACTCCTCATATCTTATGCTGAGGTTGTCCAGGGTGGGGTCGAGGCCGAGAACTTCGCCAGAACCTGGCCCAGCCGGGCCAGCTGGGCTGCCTCTGTGCTCGGCCTGGTATCGAAGGAAAAAGCTTCAAAAACTTTGAGAAAAGGAAAATTCTTAATTTCCTAATTTAGCCATCCTGGGGTTATCTACCACATGAAGTCTCGGCAAATCCAAAACGAGGAGTTCCATGAGGTGGGGAAAGAGAAGGGGGAGGAAAAACATAACCAACCTTACTCGATGTCGTTGCAGGAGTTGCAGATTTTTCAAGACAGCCTGCCGCAGACACCGCCACTACACTTGCCGTTTCACGGACTGTTCCTGTGTTTGCAGCTGCAGCGACCGCTGCGGCAGCTGCTACTGATTGGGCCTGTTCTGCTAAGGCTCGAAGATACCGACGCTTTGCCGATCTGCGACGAGCGCTTCTGCTAGGGACCTGCCAACACGTAAGGAACATATATATTTGTAATTGGACCAATTCCCTTTTTGTTTTTTGGTAATTGGATCAAATCCCATTTTTAGCAACACACCCAAATCTCCGGTACTCTATTGTTGAGCTAACCCCCTTGAACAGAACTACTCTTACATTTGCCTCCATGAGATGAACGTTCCTGCATGCAAAATGATCAGGGGTCTTCTAGGGCCTTGAGAAACACCATCTCTCCAGAAAAAGACGTGCTAGTCTGAACCTTGTTCGGAGTGTATAGCACAGGCGTTGCCGCGTTAGGGAGTGGGACTTACCTGACAGTGGCCGAATTGCATCGTTCGGGAAGGAGTGGAACGACTATGGGAGAAGACACACACACACACACACACACACACACACACACACACACACACACACACAGAGAGAGAGAGAGAGAGAGAGAGAGAGAGAGAGAGAGAGAG